CCCTTGTGGGTCCCTTTTGACCCAGATTATTCTGGGATTTGATGGCCCTTGTGGGTCCCTTCCAAGGCTATTCTGTGATCACTTCCCTGCCCTCTGTGGGTCTCAGCAGAGTTTCCAGGAGGATCTGTTCTCTGCTTTTCCCAGCTTGGCAGTGCCCAGGGCTCTCCTTTCTGCTGTTTTTAGAAATGAATCCATGACATCCCCACTAAACATCCCGTGGGTGTTGGAGGCCACGGTGAGGTCACAACTCGGTGATTTTCTGATAAAAATTCCTGTGTGCTTGGAGATCCCACCTGATGATTTATGAGCCAAAAATCACTTTTCCATTTGGGAATTCTCCATGTGAACCTGTGGACAGGATAATATTCCCACCCTAGAATTTCTGCTGGGCCAGAGTGGCCTTTTTTGGGACATTTTTGCCACTGCAGGTGGCAGTGCCATCGGGAAGGGTTCTCACACCATTCAGTTTTCACTTCCCTGAGTGGTTTGATTTTTATTCCTTCCTTTTCCCTTCCAGCTGGGTTTTTATTTTGTTTTTTTTTTGTTGTTGTTGCTTGGGGATTTTTTGGGTTGTGGTTTGGTTTTTTTTGTTTTTTTTTTTTTTGTTTGTTTGTTTGTTTGTGGTTTTTTTTTGTTTGTTTGTTTGTTTGTGGGGTGTTTTTGTGTGGGTTTTGTTGTTTTTTGTTCTGGTGGGTTTTTTTTCTTTTTCTTTTTGTTTTGTTTGTTTTTTTTTTTTTTGTTTTTTTTCCCCCCCCCAATCAGAAGCAGTTTGAGAATTCCTGGAGGAAGGGCCTCCTGACAGACAGCACATGCTGGATTTTTGCCTGGCTGGGCTGGGGATGTGTTTTGCAGAGGCTGTGCCTGGCACAGATCGAAGGAGGAATTTTTCTGAGGCACAATGGATGCAGAGAGAGGAGCAGAGCCCACGTGATCCCCAGGGATTGTTGTGCCTCAGATAAAGTGGCTCAACAGCTCCTCTCCTTTGGGTTTTCCACTTGGAACCAGCAAATCATAAAAAATCGTGCTCATAAAAATTCCCCCTCTCCTCACTTTCCTCCTGCCTCGCTGCAGAAATATTTTTATGGCATTATTTACAAAATCAGGAGCTCACTGGGAATTCTCTCAGATCTCTGGAGGTGTTGGATTTACAAACAGTTACTGTGGAGCTGCAAGGGCTTCACCAAATGATTAAAAATCGCTGTGAAAGTGAAATATAAGCTGATCTTACGATGTTTAAACTTTGGGGAATGAGGCTGTTTGGAAATATTTGTCCTTCCTGTGTGCTTGGGACGTGCCTTGAAGGGTGTGTGAATCCTGCCTGTTTCTTCATTTAAATCCTTCAGAAAAAAAAACAGGGAGTGGGAAAGACAAATCCTTTCTTTTGTGTGCTGGGATAAGGGAATGAACACAAAAAGCAGGGTCTGTCCCCTCATTTCCCCGTTCTCTGCAGGGCCACCATGTGACCCAGATCTGTGGGACAGCCCAGCTCACAACTTCTGCTTTTTTAGGTTTTCTTTTCTTCCCGAGGTTCCATTGGTGTCACCAGGGCTGGTTCAGGGCACGGGGTCTGCAGCTCAGGGAGAGGGCACGGGGGAATTGATCAGGAATTTGGAAGCCAGTTCTGCTGCTGGTGTCTAAATCTGGGCTATTTTTGTGTGCCAAAACATCCGTTTGAAGGTTTTTTTTTCTTGGTCTTTAACGCGTCACTTTGCGGCACCGAAGGGATAATTTTAGAACTCTGCTTCCCAGCCGTGTCTGAAGCGAGGCTGGATTTTGTAAGTGGGATCTTCAAGGTGGCCAAACCCCTTTTTTGAAGCTCCCAACTCCCAAAGCTCCGCGCTCTCCGTCAGCCTCGTCCCTTGAACCTTGAATTCCACAGGCCTGGGCTGGCTGTGAAATCCAGGTTGGTGGCTGGGCTTGGGATACTTTTGGAAGAGCATCGCCCTAATTTTCCCTGTCCCTTCCCTTTCCCAGCTTCGTCATCGACGGGGCCACCGCGCTGTGGTGCGCGGCCGGCGCCGGCCACTTCGAGGTGGTCAAGCTGCTGGTGAGCCACGGCGCCAACGTCAACCACACCACGGTGACCAACTCGACGCCGCTGCGGGCGGCCTGCTTCGACGGCCGCCTGGACATCGTCAAGTACCTGGTGGAGAACAACGCCAACATCAGCATCGCCAACAAGTACGACAACACGTGCCTGATGATCGCGGCCTACAAGGGCCACACGGACGTGGTGCGCTACCTGCTGGAGCAGCGCGCCGACCCCAACGCCAAGGCCCACTGCGGGGCCACCGCCCTGCACTTCGCCGCCGAGGCCGGCCACCTGGAGATCGTCAGGGAGCTGGTCAAGTGGAAGGCGGCCATGATGGTCAACGGGCACGGCATGACGCCGCTCAAAGTGGCCGCCGAGAGCTGCAAGGCCGACGTGGTGGAGCTGCTGCTGGCCCACGCCGACTGCGACAGGAGGAGCAGGATCGAAGCTCTGGAGCTGCTGGGGGCCTCGTTCGCCAACGACAGGGAGAACTACGACATTTTGAAGACTTACCACTATTTATATTTAGCCATGCTGGAGAGGTACCGCGACAGCGAGAACGTCATCGAGAAGGAGGTGCTCCCCCAGATCGAAGCTTACGGGAACAGGTCGGAATGCAGGACCCCTCAGGAATTAGAGTCCATTAGGCAGGACAGGGATGCCCTTCACATGGAAGGCCTCATAGTGCGGGAGAGGATCCTGGGCTCGGACAATATCGACGTCTCCCACCCCATCATTTACCGGGGCGCCGTCTACGCGGACAACATGGAGTTCGAGCAGTGCATCAAGCTGTGGCTCCACGCCCTGCACCTGCGGCAGAAAGGCAACAGGAACACCCACAAGGACCTGCTGAGGTTCGCTCAGGTCTTCTCCCAGATGATCCACCTGAACGAGCCCGTGAAGGCCAAGGACATCGAGAGCGTGCTGCGCTGCAGCGTGCTGGAGATCGAGCAGGGCATGGCGCGCATCAAAACCACGCCGGACGCCGACATCCACACGGCCACGGACAACTACGAGTGCAACATCTTCACCTTCCTCTACCTGGTGTGCATCTCCACCAAGACGCAGTGCAGCGACGACGAGCAGTCCCGCATCAACAAGCAGATCTACAACCTGATCCACCTGGACCCGCGCACGCGCGACGGCTCCAGCCTGCTGCACCACGCCGTCAACTCCGGCACGCCCGTCGACGACTTCCACACCAACGACGTGTGCAGCTTCCCCAACGCCCTGGTCACCAAGCTGCTGCTGGACTGCGGAGCCGACGTCAACGCCGTGGACAACGAGGGCAACAGCCCTCTGCACATCATCGTGCAGTACCACCGGCCCATCAGCGACTTCTTGACGTTGCACTCCATCATCATCAGCCTGGTGGAGGCGGGCGCGCACACGGACATGACCAACAAGCAGAAGAAAACCCCTCTGGATAAAAGTACCACGGGGGTGTCTGAAATCCTCCTCAAAACTCAAATGAAGCTGAGTCTCAAGTGCCTGGCCGCCCGCGCCGTGCGGATCTACAACATCAGCTACCAAAACCAGATCCCCAGAACTCTGGAGGAGTTTGTCCAGTTCCACTAGGCCGTGTCCAACCTTTCGTGGTGGTGCTAACCCGGGACGACACCAGACAGCAAAATACACCCCTGGCCATGAAGTTGTTTTTTTCTCCATTCCTTTGGTTTTTTTTTTTTTTTTTTT